CCCCCCCCAATGGAAAGAATATCCTTGGATGAAGATTAATAAAACAAAACAAAAAATCTGAAGAAACAACTATGAAGAGGACATTTAGATTATAAATACTGAGAGTTTATGAGAACTATTTGATAGTTTCAGTCTGGGCAAGGCCACTATTTGCTGACATAAATAGCTCTTTGAGGACCTTTGGGGCATTAGCTGTCACCGCAGTAAAGGCTACTCTCTTTCTGGCAGTGGCCTAAGGTGTGCAGTGGCCCTGTGAAGGATATCAGATTGCCCATCAATACAAGTACCATTTTACCCTAGCAACATGCACTACCAACAAATGACTTTTTCATTTTTGTGCTGGTAACTGGGCATCAGCTCTAGGTTGCCTAAGCTGTGTCTCCTGAGTACCAATTTGTAAAAAGTATACATCAACTAAATTTGGACTTTATCCCCTTCATCTCCCCTTGCATGGAACAATACTGTAAGTAAACTATCATTGCTTTGGAGTATGCTATTTTTTATTGGCTTATGAAGAGACATTATCCTATATGTTATTGGCTTATGAAATTATTATAATTCCCATAGTGGACCTGTGTTAAATAAAATACTGGCAAAACAAACTCAGTCTCTGAGCATAGTATTCCCACCCAAAACAAAACATAACAGTATGGCAGTTCCTCAAAAATTAAAAATAAAGCTGCCATATGATCCAGCAATTCCAGTTCTGAGTATATACCCAAGGGAAATGAAAACAGGATATCAAAGAGATTACTGCACTGCCATGTTCATTGAGTATTATTTACAATAGCTGAGATAGAGAAACACCCTAAGTGTTCATCATTGGATGAATGGATAAAGAAGATGTGGTGTATATATACAATGGGATATTTTTCAGCCATGAGAAAGAAGGAAATCCTGCCATTTACAGCAACTTGAATATACCTTGAGGTCATTATGCTAAGTGAAATAAGCCAGACAAAGACAAAAGCTGCATGGTATCATTTATATGTGGAATCTAAAAAATAAAAATTAAAAAAAAGTGACTCATAGAAACAGTGGAAAAGAAAGTAGTTTCCAGGGGAGGGGGGTGGGGAAATAGGAAGAGGTTGGTAAAAGGGTGGTGACTATAGTTGATAATACTGTATAATATAATTGAAAACATTTTTAGCCTGTTTTCAACTGTAATTTTATTCAAGATTGAACAAAGGAGTTTGTAAATATCATAACTTATTTTGCACACTGTCATGGGAAGGAATAAAGTAAAATACTTAAAAACTTGGAGTTAAGAGTTAGACTTTCTGGGTTAAATTCAGGCTCCACAATTTATTGGTTATAAGTGGCTATAGGTAAACTACTTGTTTGTGTTTTAGGTACTTCCTTTGTGAAACAAAAAATAATAATAATGCATACCTCATAGGGTAATCTGAACACTAAGTGAATAGTGCATAAAAAACAGAATAGTGACTGGTACATAGTAAGTATGTGGTGTATGAACAATATGCAAAATAAGGCAGTAAAAGGATGGCCCATGGAACATTGTTTGCAAATGAAATACAATCTAAAAGATTATTAATAGTGGAATGGTGACATTTATTATGTGCTATTCATACTATGGAATACTATGTAGAGATTGCAAAAGTTAAGTAGATCTAGTTGTGCTAATATGGAACAATCTCTCTACGTGAAAACTGCAAGTTATAAGCCAATAATATTATGTATGGTATTATTACAATAGTGCAGGGAAAAGAATCACAAAATACCCAGTTAAAAGATCCACTTGTATTTTTTTTAAAATATATATATTTTTATTGATTTCAGAGAGAGGTAGGGAGAGAGAGATAGAAACATCAATGATGAGTCATTGATCGGCTCCCTCCTGCACACCCCTACTGGAGATCAAACCCACAACCCGGGCATGTGCCCTGACCAGGAATCTAACCTCGATCTCCTGGATCATAGTTCGATGCTCAACCGCTGAGCCACACCTGGCCAGGCTGTATCTTATATATGAATGTGTATGTAAGTGCCTGTTATATAGAGATAGAGAAATACATACATAGCAATTTTGAAACAATAATTACCTTTGGGGAGGGAAGTAGTTGGGGGGATTTCTTAAAGCCTGATTTGTTTATTTTCTATAGTATATTTTTTATATTATATATATGTATAATCTATGAAATTAACTGAGAAAATCCTAAGAAAATTTTAGTATTTGTTTTCAGAAATGCTTACTTTCAGATATACTGTAACATTTATACTTAGCATTTTGGTTTTACAACTGTTTTGTTGATTTTTCTATGTGTGCTGTTTTTGTTCTTGTCCTTAACTAAACAATGAACTTAATGAAGCTCCAAATAATGACAAAAGTACACATTTGTGTGTATTTCCAGATAGCTGGCCAGGGAACAGCATCTTGTGAAATTTTCTCACGTTTATGGGAACATTATAAGATTTTATATGTTCCTCTTTTACAACATTTACCAACTACGAACCACTATGTGTTAAAATTTTATATATATATGTACATATGTACATATGTATATGTACATATATATATATACACACACATACACACACACATACATAATATCCCACGTTGTTATCCTAACAGTAAGAAACTAGAGCACAAAATTTATGCTTGACTTCATATTTTATTCCTCACAACACAATATTTTACTTAAAATCAGTGCTCAATAAATAGCTATTAAATGAATATCTTATATTATTGTATTACTATGAATAAAAGGCATGGGATTAAAAATATATATTCTGAAGAGAGCACATATGAGTATTATACATTTCTGAACAGACTATGTGTAAGAATATCATAATCATTTGCATTATCTAACAATCTGACTTTTTTAATCCTCACCAGAGGATATTTTTTCCATTGCTTTTCAGAGAGGCTGGGAGGGAGAGAGGGAGAGAGACAGAGAGAGACAGACAGAGACAGAGAGAGACCGATTGGTTGCCTCTCGTACACTCCTCGAATGGGGCTGGGAAATCAAGCCTGCAACCAAGGTATATGTCCTTGGCTGGAATCAAACTCAGGGCCCTTCTGTCCACTGGCTGATGCTCTAACCATTGAGCAAAACTGGCTAGGACAACAATCTGACTTTTTAATTACAGATATATGCATAGTTCTTTGTTCCAGGAAATAGCTGTTTCATTTATGACTATATAAAAAAATTTCCCTATAGAAATTCCATAAATAAGACCCATAAGCACAAAGTTAGGATTGTTTTCCTTAAATATTACTATGAGAACTCACACACAAAAAAAACCTCATCATTATTTTATTTTCTTTGCTTTTTTGCATTTTTTTCAGACTTGGGATGTAGCTTTGTCACGGACTGCTAGAGCATGGGGAAGAAAATGTGCACTTGCGCCTAATACTCATTTAGAAGAAATAAAAATGGCCCATCCTATATATACTGGTATTGGTGAAAATATATGGGTTGGCCCTGAAAATGAATTTACTGCAAGTATTGCTATCAGAAGTTGGTATGCGGAGAGGAAAATATACCATTTTGCAAATGACAGTTGCTCTGGTGACTGTTCTCATTATTTACAGGTATCTAATTTTTATATTATTAATTTAATAGACTCCTTAATTGCTTTACTATGAAGTTTTTATTGATTGTTTCAATTTTATAAATAAATTCAAATGGTAAAATTATTACTTCTAATAGAATCAAAATTCTACTTAGTCTTAGATCTTCAAAATTTCTGTAATTCCCTCTGTTATGTGAACCATACAATTAAAACATTCTTTTAAATATAGGAAATCTAACCTTCATAACCAAAGATAAAAGGTACTTTTCTAAAAATAATCTATACTGGAAAAGGAAGTAAGAAACCAGAAAATAAAGATTATTTATCAATTATTAACTATAAACATAAGTAAAAGGTTTGATATTTTTTGCACAGACCAGTACACATACTACTATATAACTAATTGGTTAAAATATTTTAAATGCAAATTAATAGTATTATTTCCCTACCTCATGTCTAATAATCTACCCTTATACTTTATACTCTACTCTTATACTTTATACCACCAAAATACTGAACCACTTATTTCCTACACATACATTTATTATTTCACATATCACATATAGATGTTTAATAATCATCTATATGTGATACTACACTAAGGGCAAGGATCTTGTCTTCTCATCTCTTTATTCTCAACACAACAACCCGATATTATTCAGGTCTTCAATAAATATTTGTATCAGGGATCAATAATTTATTAAATGAACTTCCAAACATATTTAAAATATGATTATTTTTCTATCAGTAAACTCTGATGTCATGTTTTATGTACAACTTAAAATCTTGGAATTTTTTCATGTTGAGTCTCATATCTTTCTCTTTCATCAAATGAATCATGTTTCAAAAAATGCTTATTTTTCTTCTAGAAAGTTATAGTGGTTCTTTATTGTCTTATTTGTATCAAAGCTAGTCTCCTTAATATAACTTCATACTCTCTGTAAACTAACAAATTCTACTCCCTGACCTACTCTTCTATATTTTGTATTCCTTAATTCTCGTATCTTAGACATTTCTGTTTCCTGCATTTACCCTAACTCTAATTAACTGTTGCAGACATTCTATTCTCTATTCTTTATATGCATCACTCTATTTCTTTAAGAATCACACTTTTAAAACCACTAAGGCTTGGGAAAAAACAGAAATGGTTCCCCTCTCTCCCACAGAAGTTAACAAAACAAGTACTTTTTTGTCACTTGAAAGTATTAGAAATATTGAAATCATACAGAGAATTTCTGGAATATCTTTAATTATTCTCATATTTTTACTCCAATTTAACACCTGCTTTTTCTTTTCTAAGAACAAGATCCTTTATTCATTTTTTAAATGAAAGGCCCAGATTCTATTTTATAATGCAATTTCTTCCACAAAAGAAAAGTCCAGTAGCACTCAATTACTCTCTACACTTGTATCACTTTTCCTTCCCTTCTGTAATCTTAGTGTCTCTCTTTTTCTTCCTTCTATTTACAAATTTTATTCTTTCAAAACTTTTCTCCTCTCTTTCTCTCTTCCTCTCTTTCAATAATGTAGAACTCTCAGATTCAACAAGAGGATGAACATTGAAAGGTGGGCATTTCTTTCGCTCAAGAGCATTATTTTGGATCAGTGGTTCTCAAACTATTTATTCTAAGAATACTTATTGGTAGAATCTATTAAAGTATTTCTCTAAATACAGTGTTGCAAATGCTTCCCTAAAACCATGATAATTCTCTACCTGCACCCAAATGAAGAATAATTCATATTTCTTCAATCATTTAGTTAAAGATTCTATGTGAGTTGAATATATTATTGTTTATAATATAGTAGAATAAATGTTTAGAATTAAATTTCATGTTTTCCTTGAAAATTTTATTTTAGCTTGTTTGGGACAAGTCTTTCAAAGTTGGTTGTGCTGTTACTCCATGTCCAAGAATTGGACGTATTAGATTTGCAGCAATTTTCATATGCAACTATGCACCAGGGTAAGTTACTTCAAATTTTAAAAAGAATATAAAAATAAATAAGTGGGGAATTTTTTCATTTAAGTTTTCCTAGCTTTCAATATATTCTCGTAAATGTCTTTGTGAACTATAAAAAATTAAATATACGCTATTAAAGACTTTATATTGAAATATTTTAAATTCCATAATGAATCAATAAGTCATAATTTGGACATATTAATATTATATATAGACCAGCCAAGTATAGGTTCTTAAATGAATTTTAACTTTAGTATTATTTCACAGTATCTAGCCTAATTAGCATGGGATTTAAATGATTTTCCAAAATAGTTTATTGCAGTAATATAACAAAAGCCAAAAGAAAATAAAGTTATGGGTGTTGAAATGTATATTGTATGAATTATTTCAGGAGTACATTAGCTTTGTAACGTGAAGGACACTTTTAATTGCCTATTATCTGAAAGTCGCATTATTAATTGGGGCTGATCTCATACATATAAGGAATTGAAATATCTCAGAGATGGAAGAGTACTTCAGAAATCTCCTAGTCAAGCTACCCATATAAAATTCTAATTCTTTCTTTCTTACCATGTAATTATTTACTCTATACCAGAATACCTTCTTATGACGGGAAATAACAACCTTTCAAAATAGCCTCCATCTCTGGAGAGCTCTGTTGGAAAGTCTCAAGTTTTCTTACAGGTCAATATGATTCTATAAGTAATGTTATTAAAAAGACCAACTAAGTGAGAAAATATCTTAATCAACATGTCAAGTAAACAGTAGAAAATGATTACATTCAAGGGTTGAAAAGGAATTCTTGCCAAATAAAATGCTTCTGGGACTAAAACAAACAGAAAAATAAAACACATTAATTACTGATTACTGATTGTGTTCACCTAGATAGGGAAAACAACAGAACTGTGATGTAAGTCAAATTAGACTCAGAAAGCCCCAAACTTTTCTTACTTTAAACATAGTCATGCAGGAGTAGAGTCAGAGGAATGGAAGCATGAGAGAGCCCCTTGACCTCGACCCCTGAAATTTTAACAAGTTAACCAACTATAATTCAACAAAGAATTCCCTACTCAATACAGAGGCATGCCTGAGAGACCTGCAAATTGAAACATAGAGGAGAAGGGATGAGAGCTCAGAGAACCCTCAGATGTAGCCCTGCAGCCAGGAGCTCAGGGCACGGCTGGGAGAAGGGAGGAGCTGGCAGCTTCCTTTAGATGGCAGGAACAGAGAGCTGCAGGGGGGCAGTCCAGCAGGGCAAGCTGAGCAAACAGGAACTGAGCCATCAGACACCTGACAGAGCTCAGGATTCTGCTGCAGGCTGCTGTCCACTGTCTGGTGGGAGGTGTTTCTGACAAAGAAACGGAACCATGGAGTCCTGCCACCACGTGGACTCCCAAGACTCACTTCCCATTGCCCTTGGTGTCGGGTCGAGGAATATTGTAGCTGTAAACCAAGAGCTATTGCAGTGGAACCACTGTTTCCTTCTGTGACTGATCCCTAGGTTTGGTGCTTGGGGTTATACCCCATGGAGGTCCGGGGTTGCCATTATGGTGAGAGCAAAACAAACCCCACCCCAAGAAGCATGACTGTACTGCCTTACGGAAGCCCTGGAGGTCAAGTCTGGGAGATCACAGAGGTAAAAAAATCTTGCAATTCAGGACCATCTACTGGAAAATAGTAGAAAGACCTCTTCAGAAAATGCTGCTATGAAAGGCATATTCATGCCTAGACAAAGGAGAGAAGCAAATACCATGAATAGCCATGGTAGCAAGGATGATCAGAAAGCAAATGAAAAATTCCCAGAAAGTAAGCTGGAATATATGGAAATATGTGATAAAAGTGACAGAGATTTCAAGATTGCAGTTCTGAAAATAATGAGATGCAAGAAAATACAGACAAACAATTCAGTGCACTCAGAACTGTGCCAAATAACATAATTTAATCATGGAACTAAAGCCCATCATATTCACTGTTCTGGGATTTATGCGAGGCATGTATACCAGGGGTGGGAGATCTTGTAGTCAATCTTAGAATTCTGCCTATCATAGCATAGAAATTATGAGAATGGGTCAGTTTTTGGATATATTATGAAGATGAAGCTAATAATACCAGTTGAAGAATTTGACTTTAGGGGGTAAGTAGAATAGAATAATCTAGAATGATACCTATTATTATGTCTTTAGTTTGAACAACTGGGTAAATGATGATACCATTAGCTTAGGGAAGATCAGGAGATGTGTTTTATGTTTGTAGACATTAGGTAGAAATATTAACATGGGAACTGTAAATGAATTATGAAAAGAAACTAGCTATATGGATGTCTGGGATAAGTTTCTATTCTGGAGTAAAGGCCCTGAGGTAGAAATGAGTCACAGTTCTAAAAGAATCACCTTACCAGTGAGTGAATATGAAGACTTAATTTAAGAACTAAGTCTTAGAGCACTACAATATTTCAACCGCAGGCAAAGGAACTAGCAAAGGAGAAAGAACAGAGGCTAACAAGATAAGAGGGAAACCAGGAGGCTGAGGCAGGGCTGTTGCTCTGGCTTTGGGCCGTAGGCCTCCCAACGGGCATCTGAGCCTTGCCCGCCTGGCTGCTGCCCATTCTCCCAGCACGGTGCCCCTGGGTATCTGGGCGATCCCTGGGCAGCAGCAACGGCCAAGATGACAGATTATTATGGGGGGGCAGTGCTAGGAGCTGGAGGCGCAGGAGTCTATCTACCCCTACTCCTTTATAGTATCAGAAAATCCTCCCAGCTTCACCATTACTGTGACCACTGAGGCTAAAGAAAATGATGAAACTCTCTGGACCACCCTCTAGTTTTGTGTAGTGAAAAATACCCAGATGAAGTCCCCCTTTATGAAATGTTCTCACAGGAAAATCTAGAAGGTAATGATATCTCAGGTATTTTAAAATTAGCATCACAGTCAGAGGAAAACCTTAGTATGGTGATAACCTTTAGTGGCAGCTGTGCAAGAAAAATTAAATGAAATAGTGGATCAAATAAAAACTAGAAGAGAAGAAGATAAAAACAAGAAAAAGAAGCAGAAAAAGCTGAAAAGCAATTTTTTCACGGCACTCCTGCTACAATTGAGAATTGCTTAAACTGGAAAGCTAAGTTTGATGTAGAACTCTTGGACATTAAAAAGAAATGAATGAAAGAATAACAAGCAGAAAAAAAATTAAACGTAGAGGGAAACAGCTATTTGAAACAGATCATAATGTTGACACATCTGATATCTAGGTTTGGAGTATGCTGGGGACAGTGTGGAGGTAGACAATCTTTGTTCCAGGAAATGGATGACTTGGAGCCAGAAGAGGATGGGCATGATCCAGACTTGAAGCCTGCTGAGCCAGAGTGACTTGACTGATTAGTGAACCACCTCAGTCTGCAAGGAGTCTTGACTGCCACAGTATCTCTAGCTATGATGAGAGGGTGTTGCTTTTCCTTTCTTTTTTCCTAAGAAAAAATAATTTTCAGGAGAATAGTCTTCTGATAGCTTTCATCATTGAGTTTAATAAACTGATTTTAAAATTTTAACAACAACAAAAAGATCAGAGGGAAACCAAAACAATGCTGATAAGAATACTTAGAAGCCAAGTGAAGAACATAAGCCAGGATGCACAAACCAGTTAACTACATGAGATGCTCCTGAAAGAATGAAAAAATGAGGAAGAAGAGATGACAATTCCATCTGATAAGGTGAAGGGGTAAAAGTACTTGCTGATCTTAATAACAGTAGTGAATGTAGCCATATCCCATAACTATAGTGATAAGATGAAGCTACTTGTTGTTAGGATTAATTACTCTTCTTTCTACCCACCTACCTTACAGGCTTCTTTATCTTGAAATTTCTATCCCTTATGTTTCCTTTTATACAAATATTGTCAAGTCTACCTGTGAGGGATCTAGGTTGGAAAACATATTATTCAACTTATTCAAGTTTTATTTGGTATCTACTCAAAACAGGGAGTCATGGCTATTTTTCTTAAGAGTAGTTCGTAGAAAATAAAACCATCACAATATTATGAAATACTGGATAGAGAGAGTGGAAGGGAGAGAGAGAGAGAGAGAGAGAAACATTGATGTGAGAGAGACACATCGATTGGTTGCCTCCTGCACGTGCTCCAACCTGGAGCTGAGCCTGCAACTGAGGTACATGACCTTAGCTGGAATAGAACCTGGGACCCTGCAGCCCATGGGCCAACACTCTAATCACTGAGCCAAATTGGCTAGGGCTAGAAATGAAAATAAGAGAGCTGAATTAAAAATTACAATGTGTAGTGGGCTGAATGATGGCCCCCAAAAAACATATCCAGGCCCTAAATCACAGAATCTGTGAATATTAACTTATATGGCAAGAGTATATATTGCTTTACATGGCAAAAAACAAACAAAAAAACACAAAAAACCTTGATTAAGATGAGGATCTTGAGAGGAGGATCTTATCCTGGTTTATTTGGCTGGGCTCAAAATGCGATTGCATGCATCCTTGTAAAAGATGCATCACTAGACACAGAAGAGGAGGAGGCAATGTGACCATGGAGGCAGACTTTGGAGTGAAATATCCACAAACCAAGGAACTCCTGAAGCCACCAGAAGCTGGAAGAATCAAAGAATTCTCTCTGTAAGCCTTTAGAGGAAGTATAGTCCTGCCAACACCTTGATTTTTTACTTCAGGCCTCCAGAACTGAGAGAATAAATGTTTTTTGTTTTAAATCACCCAGTTTGTGGTAATTTGTTAAAGTAGCTACAGCAAACTAATATAGAATGGAAGAATAAAACACATTTTTCCATAGAGAAAATACAAGTCAATGACAAATGACAATCTTGAAAAATTATCTCAGAACACAAAGATGGAGAATAGAAATCAAAATATATATGAAAAAAGAAATATTTAGGTGATATATCTATAAATTGATGTTCCTAAAGAACAGAGAATAATAAATGGAAATAATAATCAAAGAAAATAAAATGTTTCTAATCTATAAAGATACCCAT